CTAAGCCCTAGGGCTACCTCCCCAAAATTTTTGAATGAAACACTAACTCGACCCCCTGTTTCATTCAAAAATTTTGGGAAGGTAGCCCTAGGGCTTAGAGGGTTGAAGGGGCGAAGTCCAGTTTTACGTAAAAACCCTTCCCCTTCAATACAGTTGACGGGTTTTGGCGATTTCTGCAAATATGCCTCTTTACGCAGATAACGTGGGTGGCAATTTTTGAAATGGGAGCCCTGTATTTCCAGGTATAATACGTGCGAAATAACGTCCTAGGGCGTTATGGAAATGTAGATTAATTGAGCGTTTGAGCTAGTATTTTGGGTAACCGTGGTCCCTCTTTTACCTATAAATTTAATAGGAGAAATGTATCCAGAGTGGTTAGAAGATGCGATTCATCCAGAATTGGTGGAGATACTAGAGAATGATAACGGATACATGGAAAACCGTCTAATATTTCAACAAGATGGTGCGCCACCCCACTATGCTGCAGTGATTTGTCAATATTTGGACCAAACGTTTCCAGGACAATCGATTCGAAGAAGACGAGCTATTGAGTGGCCCCCACGTTCTCCAGATTTAAGTCCGTTAAATTTTTTTTTCTGGGGTCATTTTCAGCATTTACTTGATTGATTTTGGTTTTAAAGCATTTTTTCAAATACAAAATATCCCAACATGTTTTTGTAGCTTTAATTGGCCCCTGTAATGGCTAGGTAAATAGTAACGATGTGAAACTCAGGGGTTATAATCTACATAAAAATAGCTTCAAAATAAGGTATCACTCGACCACTCATTCTATTTAAAATTTCGGGGGCCCTTGTCACCCCAGCTAGGGCTTTGCCCCCCAGGTGGTGAAAATGCCAAAAAAATGGTTCCCCCTCAAATCAAAAATCGACGGGTTCGAGGGTTTTTTCTTAAATCTCTTGAGGAGCCCAAAATCACCTCTGTTTCGTTTTCAATTGGCCACCCTGTATACTTAGGTGTATATTGAATTTTAAATATTTGAGTAAATAATTAAAAACTTCATGAAAAATTAAACTTTGATTTTGAACTCCGACCCATCTGCTCTCCAGATGAAAAGCAGCCGTTCGCTGTGTACCAAAAGATAAAAAGTGCTACACAATACCTATCCTTTATTTTTTTATAATGTAGTAAAGGACGAAAATAGTTTCTAGCTAGTGAAATTTGTAATGATTTACTAATGAGAAATTTGGCATCCTCGCATTTTTGTTGATTTTCTGGTGTGTGACGTCACAAACCAAGTTCGCGTTTTCGCGCTAGTTTAAAAATTCGATTTTTAAATATTTTTTTTTTAAAAATAAGCGTTTTTTTTCGGAAAAAAGTATACAGATAGTATCAGAATGACTAAAAGAATAATTTAAAAATGTTTTTGAAAAATGTGAAAGTGACCCATTCTGAAAGAAAGAATATTTTAATTCATTCAGTATTATGTGCGAGTTCTAGCTGAATTTTGAGTAACTTAATTAAGTATTTTATCGAGTGACAATTTAAATGTAAGTACTCTAGTGACTATTATTGTTTTTTTTTTTGACTTTATAAATGATTCGGAATGATAAGAAGTGAATTGACATTGAAACTTTAATGCATAAAAACTTGAGTGATTTGACTGTAAAAACTTTACTGCATAACTTTGATTCCCTTCGAGTTTAATGACATTTTTGAGTGATTAGACTGTAGAAACTTTATTGCATAACTTTAACTGCCTTCGAGTATAATGACATTTTAATTTAATTTTGCAAAGAATTAACAAAGGAAAATTATAATGCTCTTAACAATATACGATTTTGAGTAGGAATTATAAATTAAATAATTGTGTTTAATGGCTAGGAATCCGAAAATAGTAATTGTTCTAATTAAATAAACCATTAAATGAAATGGGAAATTTCAAAAAGAAACTTGTTGTTCATGAAATGAGATTGTTGATTGTTGTTAATCTTTAAAAGTAATGGAAACGTTAGTTTAAAAACTGTTGTTCTTCATGAAATAAAATTGCTGTCGTTAATCATTAGAAGTATTGGAAAGTTTTATTTGAAAATTGTTGTTCATGAAGAAACATTGATAACCTTAATTGCTGAAATTTTGAATTAGGGTTTTTTATTTAGAAATTATTGTAAGGTTTTTCTAAAAATATAGTTGGTGAAACATACAGGGTGTCCCACGGTGGATGGCGTATTAGACGTTTATGGAGAACTAAAAATCGGATCATTTTGAAAATTTGGCAACCGGGATAAACGACCATAGTCTACACTTTAAAAATATTTTTGTTTATGCGGTGTTGCCGCTTCTACTCTAAACCAGTGGCAACATCGCTATTTTAAATGGAACGCCCTGTATGCGATTGCATATTTGGATTCTACGTAAAATTCTGAGCAGATTTCATGTGATATACCCTATACCTAAGTTCAACTGTTTTGGAAATATTGACAGTTGAAAATTGACTTTTTGCAACTTTGACGGGCTGTAAAACCTAAACGGTTAATTTTAGAGGAAAACGGATTTCACATTCCTGTCTTAGATTTTCATAAACTACCATTTTATACCAACTTTGAATTTAACTGGAGATTAAATTTAATTGGAATTTTCAATCATGGATTAAATTCAAAGTTGGTGTCAAATGATAGCTTATAAAAATCTAAGATAGGAATATAAAATCGGTTTTCCTCTAAAATTAACGGTTCAGGTTTTACAGCCTGTCAAAGTTGCAAAAAGTCAATTTTCAACTGTCAATATTTCCGAAACAGTTGAACTTAGGTATAGGGTATATCACATGAAATCTGCTCAGAATTTTATGAAGAATCCAAATCTGCAATCGCATACAGGGTGTTCTATTTAAAATAGCGATGTTGCCACTGGTTTAGAATAGAAGCGGCAACACCGCATAAACAGAAATATTTTTAAAGTGTAGATTATGGTCGTTTATCCCGGTTGCCAAATTTTCAAAATGATCCGTTTTTTAATTTTCCATAAACGTCTAATACGCCATCCACCGTGGGACACCCTGTATATACTTAATTCAGTGAGATAAACAGTCAGCTCATTGTAAGGTTTTTCTAAAAATATAGTTGGTGATACATACAGTGCGGCCGTAAAGTAAGGAATAAATTCAATAATTATTCTTCCAAGCAATTTTTTTAAAAATCCTCGAACATGTCAATTTTATTTTTTATCGAGCATTTTTTATAAAATAAAAATATTATACAGGGTGGTCGCAGAAAAGCTGGACAGGTAGTAACTTAATTTTTTTAAATAAATTTTTAAATATTTTTTTTTACATTTTCCGATTTCTGATAATATTCTAATTCTAAGTATTTTTTATGAAATATGTCCTATACCTATCTTCAACTGTTTCGGAAATATTGACAGTTGAAAATTGACTTTTTGCAGCTTTGAAATGCTGTAAAACCTAAACGGGTAATTTTAGGGGAAACCCGATTTCACATTCCTGTCTTAGATTTTAATACACTATCATTTGCCACCAACTTTGAATTTAATCTATGATTAAAATTTCCAGTTAAATTTAAGCTCCGGATAAATTCAAAGTTGGTGTCAAATGATAGTTTATGAAAATCTAAGACAGGAATATGAAATCGGTTTTCCTCTAAAATTAATCGTTTAGGTTTTACAGCCTGTCAAAGTTGCAAAAAGTCAATTTTCAACTGTCAATATTTCCGAAACAGTTAAAGATAGGTATAGGATATGTTTCATAAAAAACACTTAGAATTTTATCAGAAATCCGAAAATGTAAAAAAAATAGGGGTGTCCATTTAAAAAAATTAAGTTACTACCTGTCCAGCTTTTCTGCGACCACCATGTATAATAATTTTATTTTATAAAAAATGCTCGACAAAAAATAAAATTGACGTGTTCGAGGATTTTTGAAAAAATTGCTCGGAAGAATAATTATTGAATGTATTCCTTACTTTACGGCCGCACTGTATATACATAATTCAGTGAGGTAAGCAGTCAGTAAAGGACTTAGAAGTTTTAAGAATTTATAGATATAGGTAAAGGGTAATTTTAATAAGAAATGTGAATCGGAAGTGTTGTAATGTATAAACCTTTAAGTTATTGAGAATAGAAGAAGTAGGGCGTTTTTTTTGTATGGATATTTCCTGGTCCGTAGTAATGAAATTTGAACGGATGTGAAATAATTTGAGTTGGGAAAAATAGAAGTGGCTGTCAGAATAGAAAGATATTTGCTTATTTAAATTTTTGGTTGTAAGTATAATAAAATATAAATTAGTAAACCTCAATAGTTTGTTTCTCTCTTTTGCGAATAGATCCCCTCCACAATTTTATAGGTAGCTGCTCAAGGAAATAAACACCATCAATATACCGCTCGCCATTTACCATCTAACTAATTAAATAGAGTACTTGAGTGCGTTTTGCTACAATAATCAATTAACAAACTTTTGGGAATTAGGAGAAACAGAAAATGTACTACATAAGAAACCATTTCATTTAAAGAACCCCCATCACAGTTGGGTTAGGAGAATCCAAAGCAAGAGCCGTAGGAAGATTCCAACAACTTGAAAAAAAATCTGGCAAAAAATAGGGAAATATGCACCCAGTATGATGAATTTCTGCAAAAATATGAAATATGAAAATCCAAGGACATCCCACATCAGCCAGTAATACACGAACAGTACGACAACAAAGTTAAGACTCGTCTTCGACGCGTCATGCGAAACAAGCAACAACTTAAGCCTTAACGAAATGATCTAGGTCCCAGATGGCCAAACGACCTAGAAAGAGTACCTCCATCACCAGTAACCACCAAAAATATATGAGTTGGTAAAATCACCAGCAGTACAGAATACCGTCACCGGAACTATTAGTGTACCAAATTTCAAGGCAATCCAACAGATATGTCTTTTTTTTTTCTATTTTTCAATCTGTCCAAATCTGTTGCCTGGCTTTTGCCCTTGCGCCAGTTTTAGGTAAACCCTTACATTAGAATATGATATCGAAAAATCATGCCTTACCGTAGCAGTCAAGAGCATCAACCAAATGTTTGTAGCCTTCATCGTACTGTTCCATTTGTAATCTGGCATAGCCCATTATGGCAAAGAGCTTACCCCTTTTAAACGTGACCATCCATTCCAGTTCCAATGTTTGTTTCAACGGGCCCTAATTTGGTACAATAAAATTAAATTTTTGAGGTAAGAACGAAATTTCTCACATCTAAAAGGTCCAAAGCCTCTTCTAGAATCTTCAGAGTTTGTATAACGTTTTGAGATTCTATGCAAATGTAGCAAAAATCAATCATTGCGCCCATTAATTTTTCCACTAAACCTAGAATAATTACAGCAACAGGTAAGATCAGTTAGTTTCAATAATCCACAAATACAATTATATTCTTTAAGTTTGCGAAATAAGAGCGTCTTTAATTGGTAGGACTACGTAGACTTTAAACAAGATTTTTGACCACTCTTGTACTTTATGATTATAATTACCTGCTCCACTACAATGCTCAATCATTTGTGTATACATGGTGTTCAAAATGAGTAGACAAGTACACTGGCTGTAGTCCGCATCAGAAAACGTTTTTGTGATATTATAATCATCTTTGTATTTATTTATGGTTCTAAATCCTATACGGGAATCGATCATTTGAAACTCGCCCTCTTCTATCTCGTCGTCGAGGCTTTTGTTGGAACCTGAAATAGTTAAATTTTCTCCCACGTGAGATGTAACGGTTACCGATGGATAGCTATAGCCTCCAGAGTCTCTAAATAATCTGGAAAAGATGGATGGTAAAATGAAACTAAAACTAAATTGGGAATAACGGATTCACCTGGAGCCGACGTTTGAATGGCCACTTTCTTGGCTGTAAATGGAGAAGCGCAACGTGTCGCTTTCTTGAAGAATTGAGGCACCAGTTATACCGCTTGTCTGATCTGATGAGCGGAACGCTTTTTTATCGGGTTTTCTAGTCTTTTTTCTGCTCAGTATTTTTAAATCCTACCCGGAACAAAAGCTCTCTTAGGACGGATTGTTAGTATAACTCTCAGAGAAATAAAAAACAATAGAGTGAGCATACCATTCATAAATCCCTTATTGTTTGTATGCCATTGACAGCGCCCATTCTAAGTCGAAATTTCCTTAAATTTAGGGAAAAACGTATTTTTTCTAAAGGATTTCAACGCGGCTTTGTTAGAAAGCTTTCCACCTGCTTTACCCCACCTTAGTGATCATAGGCGTGCGGAAGAAAGGTTAAATGGTGAAAATATTTGTTACCAAGATTACTTTATTTAGTGACGAAAATTAAGCAAATTTAAAAAAAAAATTCTGCTTCATTAGCAGAAACATGAAAACAAAACAGATTCTGGGGAACTTTTGATCAATAATTATTTTTGATACAGGTGTTAGGAATTAGCCCTTCTAAATCAGGAGAATATTTTGTATCTTCTTTTTGGATTATGAAATCATCCCAATTCATTTGTTGTAGTCTGCATAATATAAGCAATAATTTAATATTTTTCGTTACCAGAAACCAACATCTACTTACATTATTTTTGTTTTTGGAGGAGACTCTGTGACTGAAGAGTCTGAGCTGAGGTCTGAACTGGAAATTAATGTAGCTAATATGTAGAAATTATTTCAAATATTAAATAACCAACTTACTTTGAAGTATTGAAAACATTGGAAACAGGTAAAGGATCCGAACCAGATTTCAAATATCTAAATCCATTAGGCCTAGTGCATTATATCATTGAGGTTCAAATGATCTGAGCAAACATCAGCGGATTTGGGTAGTCGCTTATTTTCTAATCCTAGAAGGCAAATCCATATACGCCTGGGCTTTGGATTTGTTGGAATCCTATAAAGACGCATATTTAATTTTAATTAAGCATATAAGGATTAATATTATTCTGCTTGGATATCTCCTATAGAAGTTCATAGAAAAAAATGAACAACTGGTAACTCGAAGATTTACAAGCTTCAAAAAATACATTATACTTTTCAGTGATCTAATAGGTATTTTTTTATTTATCTGATATATCTTATCAATCCAAATAATTTCCTCAATCTTGGAACAAATTTGATATTTTTGTGGCGAATAATATATCCTACTCTACGCCACTGGTCTGCTATCATAATATAACCCCCTACTTACCTATGAAATAAAATTTCCGGTTTCATATAATCCAATTTTTCACACACTTAATACTGTCTAACCATATTGCTGTATCATATTAGTCTTAAAACACACAAATAATTCACTTTTCAAACATAAAATATCAGAAAAACCTCCAAGTCCAATAAAGGGTTTTTTCCAAAATATAATCGGCGACCTTTTGATTCGTCTAGGATGGCTTTTAGACTTGATCGTTTAGACTATGCTTTCTCCCTGGCACCTCGTCAAAATGTAAATAACGGCCTCTATTGCTTTTTATTCCTCTGAGGTATAACTAATTTAAACCTTTTAGTCCTTGGGCCCAGATCTAAATTTTTTATTTATAACCACACCGTCGAAACTTTTTGTATTTGTTATTTGGGTGGAGTCGGACAAATTTGGAGCTTAGCGCATTATGGTAGTGGGGCGTTTGTCTGTCAAGCTGTCACGAAGTTGTCGATTTTAGGTCTGTTCCCACAGGAGTCTCTGACAGTTTGCAACCTGTCAGAAACAATCGCTCAGCTGAGTTTACCGATTTATCTTGTAACGACAGCATTGAAAACATGCATGGGCGATGCTTACTGACAGTTTGCAAACTGTCAGAGACTCCTGTGGGAACAGACCTTTTATGCAAGAAAAAAATGTATGACCACATTGGTAATTTTATTTTAATCAATAGTTTTTATCACATAAACAACGAAAAAAAATGTGTCGGACAAAAATATCGGGGCATTCGACGCGTCGGACACGTTGAATATGTCAAATTTTTGAGATTTTTTTTTTATTACCACACGGCTGATTTGAACAGAATCTGCCATAAAAATATTTTACAATAACGTGATAACCTTATCGGACAATTTTCACGGGGCATATGCGCAGTCGGATGCGCCAAAGATGTCAATTTCCTGCAACAATTTTATTTACAAGCACAGATGCAATTTTTATTTTTTACTATTTCTTCACATGTGTAACGCATATCGGATCAATTGTCGGACAAAAATAATGAGGCGTTTTGATACAATTAAAAAAAAAAATAGGTAATTTTTGTAATTTTTCACCTCGTCACTTTTCAAAATTATCAGACGCAAAATTCCAAGATTAGAGCAAAAGTTAAAAGAAAAGAACAAATCAATAATTTTTCCAACAATGGCTAATTCTAAAATAATTTAACTAACTTTGCACCCTTGAAAAAGGAAACAATAAAATTTCCGAAAGCTCGGCGTTTGTAAAAAACTATACCTTTTCAACTTCAAATTGGGATTAATCAATTTCAATTTGGAACTTAGCAATTTCAAATTGGGATTAATCAACTTTTAATTGGTAACTAACACGTTCAAAATGGGAATAAACAAAGTCAAATTGGAAATAAACAATTTAAATTTGGTACTAATCAACTTCAAATTGATATTGTTGAATAAAAAAAATGTTTGCAAGTCAAACGGCAGTTACGCGTTTAAACCGTATAATACATTAAGAAAATGACTTAAATTGAAGCACCTGATGCAGAAAATGCTTGAAAGCAAAATGTGCTGTTTTTAATAACAAAGGCGACTGAAGAGGATTGGCTAACACACTGGGTATAAAAAAATCTACTGCTTATCGATGGGTAGGTACCCAAGAAGTTGTTCGAAGGAAACGTGGGGGACAATGAAAAGCAAACATTTTAGAAGAACATAAGGTAAAAATGACTGGATACTTAGAGGAAAATCTTGAAATTACGCTGAAATAAAAGAAAAATTTGAAGAAAATCTGATTCTGATGAAATGTTTTCATTCGCAATTTGCAAATCACTAATCAGCCATGTTTAGCGCATGTATAATGCGTTGAATATGAGCTACATGTCTGGCACAAATATTTTTCTCAAATTCGAAGAAATAGTTCATGATTCTCTAAGGGACTTGAATGTAATCGGAAGGTAAAACAAACTCAAAGTCAAAGTCTCAAATATAATTTCCTAAAATAAATAAGTCTTCCCAATTTGAATTTGTTTCTTCCCAAATCAAAATTGATTAGTCCCAATTTGAAGTTGATTAGTACCAAATTAAATATGATTATTCTCAATTTGATATTGTTAATTCTCAATTTGATTTTGTTAGTTCCCAACTTAAAGTTGTTTAGTCCCAATTTGAAGTTGAAAAGGTATAGTTTTATTTTTGCCAAGACTGAATCCCAAGAATCAATCATCTCACTTATTAAACAAGCCAGTCAAGAATTTCTACATCTATAATTTATAGTATACTAGCTAAACCGGCGAACTTCGTACCGCCTATGAATTATTAAATACCTATTAAATGTTGTGCTAACGTATCTAGTAGATAAATTAAATTCAGTTTTTTTCAATGGTGAATTTGGCCTTGGAAACTAATGTTTACTCTCTGGATCAAAAATCACCTAAAATTAAAATATTACATCTATTGATTACGGCTATTGATTTCAAATAGGGTGCCTCGCTTGGATCATAATCGCTCTCGGAGCACTTGCGCAGAGATCTGTGACGTCACTGCCCAAATAGAGAGCGCTCTGGGAGCAGTAAAGCCGAAAATGCTATAAGATAATACTGTTACGTCGGTTGAATGGAACAAACAAAAATAAGTTAAGTTATCTAGTGGTGAGAAGCAAGACAAAATTTAAAAAATTTGGGGTGGACCACCCTTATCACTTAGGGGTATGAAAAATAGCTTAAAACCTATCCTCAGACCTACCGAATATACATATAGAATTTCATAAAAATCGGTAAAGCCGTTTCGGAGGACGAAGGTAACTAAAACTGTGACATGAGAATTTTATATATTAGATATGCATACACACATACCCACACACCTATATGTTTTATACAGGGTGAGTTACTAAGAGCGCGGTGGTCCCTATCTCCTATACTAACAGAGATCGAAGAAAAAAGTAAATACAAAACTTGTAGATAAACATGAGTGCTACATTCCTAAATTATTTTCCAGTATACAGGGTAGCCCAATAAGTAGTGGTGACACAAGGCTATGTTTTTTTAAATGACTAGCCCTGTATATTATGACATTTCTGGATTCTGCGGAAAATTCTAAAGTATGTTTTTTTTTTAAAGATAATTCCCCAAGTCAAAAATTTAGTAACTATGTTGGCAACAGAAGCCTTTCCTGCATAAAAAATTTGAAAGCATTGACAATTTTACATTGTATTGCCAACATAATATAATGTCATTTTGACTTTGATCTTTAAAAAAAAAACAGATTTTAGACATATTTCATGTACAATGTCATATATCTATCTTCAACTGTTTCGGAAGTATTGACAGTTTAAAATTGACTTTTTTGCATCTTTGACAGACTGTAAAACCCGAGGTAAAACCTAAATTAATTTTAGAGGAAAACCGATTTTACATTCCTATCTTAGATTTCCATAAGCTATCATTTGACACCAACTTTAAATTTGATCGAAGATTATAAATTTAAGCGGAATTTTTAATCATGGATTAAACAGGTACAGGTAAACAGATTACAGGTAAACACGTATACTACAGGTACAGGTAGGTACGTAAAAGTGAAAAAAAAAATCTTAAATTCATGAATATGTAGGTAAAAATATTACCTTCCATCTCGTAGAAAAAAATAGTGTTCCTAACTCTTGCGGAAAGTCTCTTTTCCGCATTTGATTGCTTGCCGAACTCCACTGCGCGTCGTTCGGCAAACTGTAATCGCGTGCGGAAAAGTGGTACTTTCCGCACTAGTTAGGAAATATACTATATTAATTTTTATGCGGAAAATCATCACAAGCAATTTGAAAATCGCTTCGTCTTAAAATTTCACCGCACGCGTCTCAAATGTTTGTTTGTATTGTAGCGTCGGCGTATATGTAGGTAATACTTATATGTTTATATAAAGTAACTAGCTGACCCGGCGAACTTCGTACCGCCTCTGAATTATTAAATATACCTATTAAATGTTGTGTTAACGTATCTATTTGCTGAATTAAATTCAGTTTTTTTCGATGGTGAATTTGGCTTTGGCTGAAGAAAATTATTGTTTACTCTCTGGATCAGAAGTCACCTAAAATTAAAATTTTACATCATCCTTTTTTAGGCAGCTTGTGGGCATTATTCTTGTAAAGTGTACCACCAAATAAATAAACTCAGGCACAGGAATGTTCAAAGAATGTGAAGAAAACAAAAAAAATCTCTAGCGCAGCCCTGTTTCACTTTATCTGCACTGCATGCAGTGCACTACTCCATCTGTTCCACTCTATCTGCGCTACTCTATCTGATGGGAATAGTGGAATAGTTCTGTTCGAAATGGCTCCAGTTCCTGAGCAGCATTGTTCTACTGTATCTGCAATGCCGAGCTTCGTTCCAGGTATCAGAGATGGCGCGGTATACAAAATACAAAATACAAAATAAACTTGGTATCGGTTATAATTAAGAGATGGCGCAGTATGCGGGCTTAGTAAATTTTTTTCATAAATAAATAAAATAAGTAATGAAATGACCACATTAATGACATAACAACATGCTGGTACTGTCAACGCTGAAAGAAGTTTCAATTTGACAGAAAAATCCCCATTAACAGAATGATCCTCCATTTATTGAATAATTCATTTATTACAAAAAATGTGATAAATGAAGAACCGCTCGAACGATTTTGTGCAAACTTCACATAAACCATCTAATAAATAGTCCGAACAAAGCCTAAACATTTGGTTTGGCTAGGTGAGTCCGTTCTTGAGTTATAAAATTACAACGAAAAGTGGCATTAATTTTTACATACAGGCAAAGACAATACTATATATATACCTACTAGTATTGTCTTTGATACAGGGTGTCACGAAAGGTTTGTTACAAACTTCTAGGGATGGTAGATCTCGTAAAAATAAAGCTTTTTTCTTGATAAACATGTGTCCGAAAATGCTTCGCTTTCCAGATACAGGGTGTTAAACTTTGTAAAAAAAAAGCCAATTTTTTTATTAATTCTTTGAAATGCATTGTACGAATTAAATGAAATTTTCATAGTTTGTTGACACCTTTATGAGGTATCTTTTGGACTGCTCAAAGTTGACCCAGTAATTCCAGGGACGTGCCACAGGTTTTGTGGGATTTTGCACGAAAAACATCGTCCAGTAGATTTATTTTCAATTAAGATATGTTTTTTTCAATAGAACATTTAAAGATACAACTTTTTTATCTCCTTATTTTTTTCCGTATGCTGCTTAGTTTTCGAGATAAAATTTAAAAACCATTTTAGGCTAACCACGAACGGCACTGACCTCCATAAATAAAAAATAAATTGCCACAGAATTACCTGAAATTTTACCAGGCTATTTGTTGCTTAAAAATAAACAAAAAACTTTTTTTCTAAAACGCTCGCACTTCTTAATGTAAAAATTGATTTTTTTCACAAAGTTTGCCACCCTGTATACAGGGTGCCCCACGGTGGATGGCGTATCAGACGTTTATGGAGAACTAAAAAGCAGATCATTTCGAAAATTTGGCAACCGGGATGAACGACCATAATCTACACTTTAAAAATATTTTTGTTTATGCGGTGTTGCCGTTTCTACTCTCAACCGGTGGCAACATCGCTATTTCAAATGAAACACCCTGTATGTGATTGCATATTTGGATTCTACGTAAAATTCTGAGCAGATTTCGTGTGATATACCCTATACCTAAGTTTAACTGTTTTGGAAATATTGACAGTTGAAAATTGACTTTTTGCAATTTTGACAGGCTTTAAAACCTGAACGGTTAATTTTAGAGGAAAACCGATTTCACATTCCGGTCTTAGATTTATATAAACTATCATTTGACACCAACTTTGAATTTAATCCATGATTTAAAATTCCAATTAAATTTAATCTCCGATCAAATTCAAAGTTGGTGTCAAATGATAGTTTATAAAAATAATCTAACATAGGAATGTAAAATCGGTTTTCCTCTAAAATTAACCGTTCAGGTTTTACAGCCTGTCAAAGTTGCAAAAAGTCAATTTTCCACTGTCAATATTTCCAAAACAGTTGAACTTAGGTATAGAGTATATCACATGAAATCTGCTCAGAATTTTACGTAGAATCCAAATATGCAATCACCTACAGGGTGTTTCATATAAAATAGCGATGTTGCCACTGGTTTAAAGTAGAAGCGGCAACACCGCATAAACAAAAATATTTTTAAAGTGTAGATTAGGGTTGTTTATCTTGGTTGCCAAATTTTCAAAATGATCCGCTCTTCAGTTTTCCATTAACGTCTAATACGCTATCCACCGTGGGACACCCTGTATCTGGAAAACGAAGCATTTCCGGACACATGTTTATTAAGAAAAAAGCTTTATTTTTACGAGATCTACCATCCCTAGAAGTTTGTAACAAACCTTTCGTGACACCCTGTATAAAGATAAAAGCATTAACTCATCCTTATAATTTAAGAACGTCGATAGCCTATAAGAATTAAATTTCTTGTATGTTTGCCCCAACATTTTTGTCAGACAATTACATTTACATTTTTTATTTAAGAATATAATTACTGGTAACTTTCTACTTTTGTCGGAAAAATATTTGTAAAAAAAGGGATACCTGAACCCAGTATAGTTAAGAAATATCGATTACCAATAAAAATTACATCTTTTGTCCAACTGTCGATATGCCCCAATATTTTTGTCCGACACTTAGATTTTTTGATTTAGAATATAATTACTTAGACCCTCCTATTTTTGTCGGAAAAATGGTTGTAAATAAAATTGTTGCAGGAAATTGACATCTTTGGCGCATCCGACTGCGCATATGCCCCATGAAAATTGTCCGACAAGGTTACCACGTTATTGTAAAATATTTTTATGGCAGATTCTGTTCAAATCAGCAGTGTGGTAATAAATTTTGTTTTCCCAAAAATTTGACATATTCAACGTGTCCGACGCGTCGAATGCCCCAATATTTTTGTCCGACACATTTTTTTTCGTTGTTTATGTGATAAAAACTATTGATTAAAATAAAATTACCAATGTGGTCATACATTTTTTTCTTGCATAAAATCGACAACTTCGTGACAGCTTGACAGACAAACGCCCCACTACCATAATGCGCTAAGCTCAAAATTTGTCCGACTCCACCCAAATAACAAATACAAAAAGTTTCGACGGTGTGGTCATAAATAAAAAATTTAGATCTGGGCCCAAGCACTATTTAGTTGTCAAAAAGAAACAATTCTCTGAAGTTACAGATTTAGGTCTGATTATTCTGACTGGAAAGATTAACAGAATTATTTTTATTCTTACATAATCCAATCTGTTCCCCATATGTTTGGTAAAATATCCATTGCCACACGCCCGGCATTTCCTAGTCTCCTTTTCCAAATAGCGAATAGCTCTGGCATGGAACTCCCTCTTTTGATTGTCAGTCAACAAATTATAAGTGGTTTCCCTAAAAGTCGTTGACAAAAACCTCATATATCCGCACGAAGCGTATTTAGGCAAATCCTGACAAATTTCGTCGATTATTAGTCCCTGACATTCACAAGCAACTTCAGTATTTTCGTTGGGATTTTTGAAACGTTCAGTAAACACCAAACCACCCTCTAAAAAGTTGCCTCTGGCGCAACTGAGCACGTGTATCTCGAATAGCTTTTTTACAGCCAAAGCCGTCAATCTAACGGCGCTAGACGCCATAATATACATCAACATGTCCCTCGGAAATATGTCTCCTAGAATCGCGCTACATTTGATGAGTAGTTGTTCGTAGGATGTTAGGGAATCGAATGTTTTTAATATAATAACGTCGATTGCCAGTTCTGGATCGACTTCGTCAATGTTAAAAGATGGATTGAGAACGCAGACTTTTATTGGCGTTTCCAAATCAAATTTTTCCCCGAGGGACTTAACGGCTGCCAAATTTGGATGGCTTTCCTAAATAAACAATAATTAATATGAAAGGGTTACGTATTAGTTTAATCATAATCACCCAGCATGCGTCCACATACATTTTCCAATTGGAATAGGGGTCTGCCATTTGGGATTCCCCTTCTTCCATAATTTCGATCCAAAGCTTTTGCTCTTCCTCGGATAATCTAAAATAGCATCAAGAATTTGAACATGATGAATGTGGAAAATGTATAATGTCATAGTCCAGGAGGCAGTGGAATTTTTCAGCACTTATTTTCTTAGTTGATGTATTGTTTGCCCAGCGGATCTGAGTCTACGGAAGGAATTCGGACGTAAATGTGCCATGTTGTCACGTTTAATTATAAAAAAGCGAAAATACTTGGCATGAACTATAGTTCATTTGAAAATCCATTTTTTAATAACAAAGTATTGATAACAATAATAAAACGCTAAATATTTTGTTTTTGTTTTGTTGGATCTATTCTTGTTTTAATCCTGATTTCTTCAATTTGGTTTATTGTAAAAAATAAACATTTTCTAAAGATACCATCAGCTTTTGACAATTTGGCAAGCATCCGGCCTGGATGGACCTGATTGGTGGAGTTTTTGGCAGGATCGCCGTTGCCATGGGAACCATACGGTTGTCAATGAGTTAACGTCACCTAACATCTCGCTATTGGCCAGGGCTTACGTCATTTTATCCTCCTATCTTGGAATATCGATTTATATTGAAAAATCCAGTGGCGGAGGTTTGGTCATTGTCGATTTTCGTGTACGAGTTGCAATACGATAACACTTCCAAAAAGTTCCGCACGCAGCTGGGTATTTTATGAATGAAATCAGCCATTTTTTTTTACAACTGCATTCCCCTTACCGTTGCCCCGTAGACACAGATTCGCTGGGCAGACATTATAATAAGTAGTTTGTTCTCTTGGTGATACAAAACAAGTAGTCAACCATCCAAGGACCTTTTTTTTCAGTTATATATGTAAACCCCATACTTTGTGAGTGGCTTGCTTACATCAAGTCCTACAACTTTTCCTCTACGACTTTTCTCGGAAATGGCACGTATGCGCGCAGGCGACTCGCAAACATGTCGATCTGACGTAGCTATGTTTCCTGATACATGTAGGTAAATCTAATTTTACGAATACTGTTTGATTTTTATGTCTAAATCACGGAAATCAACTTGGCCGACAAAAATAATGGCAAATTGGGGGAGTCCGATACCCCCAAAATGTCGATCTGACGTGGTTATGTTTCTTGATACATGAAAATCTAATTTCACGAATAATGTTTGATTTTTATTTCTAAATCACGGAAATCAACTTGGCCGACAAAAATAATGGCAAATTGGGGGAGTCCGATACCCCCAAAATGTCGATCTGACGTGGTTATGTTTCTTGATACATGAAAATCTAATTTCACGAATAATGTTTGATTTTTATTTCTAAATCACGGAAATCAACTTGGCCGACAAAAATAATGGCAAATTGGGGGAGTCCGATACCCCTAAAATGTTTGCGAGTCGCCTGCGCGCATACGTGCCATTTCCGAGAAAAGTCGTAGAGGAAAAGTTGTAGGACTTGATGTAAGCAAGCCACTCACAAAGTATGGGGTTTACATGTATAACTGAAAAAAAAGGTCCTTGGATGGTTGACTAAAGTATTTTTGAGTCTGGCTAAAATCTTCGGATGGGTTCACAAGATTATTGAGAAATACAAGTACACTTATTCCCCAAGGAAATTTTTCAGCACTTATTTTCCTAGTTGGTGTATAATAAGTAGTTTATTCCCTTGGTGATACAAAACAAGCATTTTTGAGCCTGGCTAAAATTTCTGGATGTGTTCTTACAACATCAATGAGAAATACAAGTACACTTATTCCCCCAGTCATAAATATTTCACATTTACTACAATAGAACATAAAGTATATACAGGGTGATTGGTGCATCGTTTGCCAAATTTAACTGCCCGAAAGAAGAGGCCATTTGCTAACTCTTCAGCCATAATAAATCATCCTTGACCCCTAGGGGTTTTTTTAATTTGGTTTTTTGAATTTTTTTTTTTTAATCTCAAAATTCTCCATTTAAACTTAAATTTAAAAAAAAAGTTGTTAGCCTAGCCTCCAAATTTTATTTTTAATTTTATGTGTACCGTGCATTCAATTTATCTTGATAACATTTTAATTCGCTGTAACTTTTTTGTTTTTGAAGGTATCAAGGTAAACAAAAAAACAAAATGTAGGGTTGGTAGCCAAGTTTTTTTTCAAGGTACCTATAAAACAAAACACTATCAATTTTATGACATATGAGCCTACATTATATTTTTTCAAATGGAACACCCTGTATATTATATATGGGTTTGATAGAATATCTTATTTCGATTACAATGATATAACACACTTTATATTTTAGTCCACTCGTTTTTGACAAATCGGCAAAAATATGAAATTTTTATATGCACTATCAATGATTCTCTCCCCAAATATCAGATCGCCGCCTAATAAGTTTCACTTCAAAAGTTTCCTATATTTTTGCCAATGTGTCAAAAACGAGTGGACTAAAATATGGAGTGTGTTATATCATTGTAATCGGAATAAGATATTCTATCAAACACATATATAATATACAGGGTACTCCATTTAAAAAAATATAATGTTGGCTCATATGTCAGAAAATTGATAGTGTTTTGTTTTATAGGTAACTTGAAAAAAAAACTTGGCTACTAACCCTACATTTTGTTTTTTTGTTTACCTTGATACCTTCAAAAACAAAAAAGTTACAGCGAATTAAAATGTTATCAAGATAAATTGAACGCACGGTACTGTGGTATGGTTCCACCAAATACAAAATTACTTGCCATTAACGTCTAGTCTTTTTATTATTGACTGATAACATTTTTGAAACAAGTAAAAATAAATTGAAAAGTGAAATTTTCATTGCAATAAAAAAAAAAACAAAAGTCGATCGTGATCTTCAAATTCTGTTAAAAAGTTCTTTATTTTATCCCCTTTCCAGTGGTATGTAATATGCCATAAAGCCCATAAAAACATTTTAACATCTTCACTAATTTGCTAAATTTGTGTATCGGAACACAGCAGGCAAATATTCGATATTTGGTATGAAATCGTTAATAAGACCTTAATGGGAAGTAATTTTGTAATTGGTGGAACCATACCACAGTACATATAAAAATAAAAATAAAATTTGGAGGCTAGGCCAACAACTTTTTTTTTAATTTAAGTTTAAATGGCGAATTTTGAGATTCAAAAAAAAATTAAAAAAATTAAATTAAGAAAAAAACCCGTGGGGTCAAGGATGAGTTTTTATAGCTGAAGAGTTAGCAAATGGCCCCCTCTTTCGGGCAGTTAAATTTGGCAAACGATGCACCAAACACCTTGAACATATAAAATGTTCGGATCTTCAATTTTTCACTTGCCAGACGTATCATCCATACTCACAGATTAGTCATACTATTTTTTTAGGTAACATCAGTATACCTCTCATTAGTAGAGCTATTTTTATCAATGGAAAAAAAAGGCCGTGCATTCGCAAGCTCTGACGCATTTTGCGCGCGCCTCAATTACATCAGCAGGACCGCTTCCTGCAAACTCAGCCTCCTCCGAACGCTGACATACCACCCGTCACCAGTGCGGAGATCAAAGGCCTGACATCCAGAGTCAATCCAAGAAAAGCTCCAGGGCCGGACAAAATCAGTAACATGATATTGCGACGTCTCCCCGACATGCAAATCCTGGAGCTTACAAACATCGTGGATGGCATTTTAAGAACGCAGCACTTCCCCACATCCTGGAAGAACGCTGACGTCATATTGATCCACAAAGCCAATACAGCCTTGAACCAACCAAGCAACTACAGGCCAATCAGCCTGCTACCTCACCTCAGCAACATAGCAGAGCGCATAGTCCTCAGAAGGCTCAACAACCATCTCGAGGAGATAAACGTACTTCCTGAACAACAGTACGGTTTCGGAGCCAGCCGATCAGCATTACACCAGACAACCCGCCTAGCCAGGTTCAAAAGAGACGGGTTCAACATGAGGAAGGTTACAGGAGCTCTCTTCTTCGACAGCCACTCCAGAACAGTACTTCTTTGACAGCCACTCCAGAACAGTACCGATAACCGCCGGAGTTTCACAAGGCTCCGAACTTGCTCCCACGCTGTTCAACATCTACACCTACGACATTCTACTCCCGGCTGGATTTCTGCAGCTAGCCCAGTTCGCCGAAGACACCGCCATCGTCGTCAAGAGCAGACAATCCAGACTGATCACCCTCAAACTCCAGAGATACACCAACACTCTGGAAGCCTGGATGCAGAAGTGAAAAATGAAACTGAACCCGAAGAAGACTCAGGCTGTCCTGTTCAGACGTACCCGTGCCAGACCTCACGGACACGTGAGATTATCAGGACACGACATCCCCTGGAGAAGCAACACCAAATACCTTGGCCTTCACTTCGTCCAGTGCCTCACCTAGAGACAACACATCAAGATCACCAGAGCCACGACAGAGTCAACGCTACGAAAGCTCTTCCTTATCATATCCGGGAGGAGGAGCAAGCTATCCATCCAGAACAAACTCCTGATGTACATAAAAATCCATGCTCGGGCCCATCTTCACCTACGGATCCCCGACATGGTCCACCACAGCACCCACTCACCTGAACAGACTGAATGTCTGCCAGAACAAGACTCTCCGTATCATCGCGAACGCCCCATGGTACATGAGAAACACGACGCTTCGTCGAGACTACGAACTAGAGACGCTACCTGAACACATCAAGAAGCTAAACACCAACTACTTCTTGAATGCCAGCGCTCACACCAGCCAGTCCATCTGGGACTCCCACCAAGCTCCCCCTCAACACGAGAGAGGCTACTACAGAGTTCCGAACAATGACTACCCACCATAACAGGCCTTCTGCTGCGTCCATTGTCAATCCTGGACCGAGTAGGGGTTGAGGATCATACGCAGCGGGAAGCCACTCTTGACTTCTCTGCCTGAGAAGTCAAACAGGTCGCCTACTGCCAAAGAGAAAGCCTCCCAGTCTGGGAAGCCTATCGGAGGCCGGAAGTCAGCCTTTCAAGCCTACTGCAGCGTGCCCCTCCGAGAAGGGACGCAGGAAGCTAGCCAAACAGGACGCCTATTGCCAAAGAGAAAG